ATGCATCTTGCCAATATTTTCTACGAGTATTGAAGATTTTGCAACTTGACAGCACCAAAAAAAGAAAATATGAGAAAGAAGGAGAAAAAATGGAGAAAGTAATCAACATCAACTGCTTGTCAAGGGTGGTAGATAAAAAAATTGAACTGTGATTGAAAAACTATAAGAGAAAACAGATAACGTTTGCACTTGTTTATTTGCCCAGCTGTCTGAGTTTCGTCGAATAAAAAATCTCACCAATCTCTTACCTATTGACAGGTTTCTCTGATGGAGCAGGAACAGGAACAGATTGTATGGGTATGCTCGGGGACGCATTGCACGGTATGGCGCGATGAATTCCATTCGGCATTCGAGCTTCTTCAAGCACTGCCAAGTATCCTTCCGCTACGATACAATTGTTCTAATAAAAATGCACGTAAAATTAAGATTAGAAGAGACGCTTCACTTTTTTAATGTGACTAGGGAAAGTCTGCTCAGAGAATAAATTTGATTGGTAATAGTTTACAACGTCACTTCCAAAAGGTCCAGGATTGTCGGATTCCTTTCCAACCCGGTTTTTTTCACGCTCTTGATTGACACTTTCTGGTGAATCTACATCGATAAACAGTTTCAGTGGTCACAATATTTACCGAGAAGAAAGTAGAGTCGAGAAACGTTATCAGAAAAGTAACATTATATACCGACAATTTAAATGGGGATGGTTCGCTGCCACTGTATTTGAAATTTCGCCAAATATTCAAAAAGTGAAGAAATGACATTCCGGTAAACAAGTTAGAAAAGACATGATGATAGAGAGCGGTACGTGAAATGACACAAAAAATTGTACCTCCACTACGAAATCGATTGAGAAGAAAAGCAGCGAACTAAAGAGCTACAATTCAGGGTTGGATATGAGTGATTTTTGTCTTTACAGAAACATAAGCACCATTTTGGTCACCTTCAGTTGTCGGCTGGTCTTGCTCAGTCATATCCAAAGTGTCATGCTCCACCTCTGCTATTGGTGCTGTGAGCGGCGATCGTGGTGGTGGTGGTGGTGATCGGCCGAATGACGGCGAATACTTGTGACATCCGTTAGCTCAGTCGAGATGATTTGGCTGCAGCTTGGATCCTGAACCGAGCTCTTCACTTTAACTGTGTTGTTCGAAGATTGAAAGGGTTATGCGAAGTTTTGAGCTATATAGATTTCGAGGAATCAACTCTTGATTAGGTGGCGTATCGAACTCACACACAAGATCACCAGTTTCAGTACAACTAATCAATGTACGTGGTAATTTTTATTGAACCCCTGACTTATCTCGTAACCAGCGCCGGCGGATCGCTCCTGCATTGGAGAATGCGTAAACATTGTAGACCGGGACATGTGAGTCCTCCTTATTGTGTATGAAGAAGAGCGTCTTTGTGAAAAATAGCAGGGATCATCGGAAAAGAAGAGCTCCAGATTGAATACGGCAGGAGATTGGTTTCCAAATTTCTTACGAGAACTGTTTCACATAAGGGCCTGCTTGTCGCCAACCTTTGTGAAAGGGAGATTTCGTTGCATCCGGATAAGATTGTTATTTGTTTAAAGCGCAAAAGATAAAAATTAAGATTTATCGAGGGTCAGAAATAACAAGAGACCCGCCGCTGGCCATGGGCTTTGTTATCAATAATGCTGATCAATGCCTTGTAAATATGGAGGACCAGATTTCCTGAACAAGTTGGGCTTTGAAAGCCTTCCTGTTTGCTTGTCAGTGGACAAAGTGAACCACTTTTTCTGCGTCCGCCGAAACTAAGGAGAAATTTTTTGACTCTTTAAAAAGGGGAGAACCGGCTTGCTGCAACCTCACTGCTATCAAATCAATCAATTCTTCAATTGCTCTGGTAAACAAAAGATTCAAGAAGTCACAAAAGTCTAAGAAGTGGATTCTGCTTGAGTTTATTGATTGTGGAATGAACTACTCACATAAATGTGGCTAGTCAATACAAAACATTTTTCCTCAGACGACTCTGTTTACATAATACTTCCTGAAACAAATTCGAAAATAAAAGTTATAAATGATGTCGGGTCAACCGTTAAGAGGAAAATTAACTTTTTCCTGGTTAGGAAGAGGCTTCACTGAGTGTGTCAAAATGTAACTGATAGGTAGATGAGCGGTTTAGAGAGGAATGCCGTACACCAAGACCTTTGAGGGAGGAGGCGATCCGCAATCAAAACACCGTCCGCTGCTACCGGACGAGCAAACATAGCGCCACTTTGATTAAAATCGAAACAAATCAACGACGATGTCGTGCATGATCGACTCCGCTGTGTTGCTTGGATGAAAATTCAAACTAGACCCTGTTTCCGACGAATCTAATGCCAAAACCTGAAGGGACATTTCTTTGCCAAAGTATTGGTGGATAATGATTGTGTATAGGGCACTCATGGATTGCTCAGTTTTACTAATGGACACAATCTTGTGCATCCTAGTTTATGAACTCCTCATGACTACCCGTACTTGCATCCCTTAAGCATAAAATTTTAGTAGCTGTAAAACAACCAGAAGGCGCTGAGTTCATATTGAGTAAGAACTATGTATGAAAATAGAGAAGTTTGTTGGCGTTGTGGCGCAATCCACTCCAATTCGGGACCGCAAAGGTATATGAATTTGAGTTTTGAAATTTGTATTGAAGTGAAGCACTTCAGATCACTAGTGTTTCCACTTGAAGCAGAATTTACGATGAAAAGTTAGCTCATTGGAAATAAGGGTAGAGGTGGTCAGTGGAGCAGGGATGAAGAAGAAACCATTTGAAACGGCCCGAAACCCGAGAAATGGGACCCCTTCCTTGCCCGTTGATTTGCGCATTGATGCGACTCTCATCGCTGTGCCCTCTTCAACACTCTCTCTGCTATCTAATCACTCGCCACGTATAGACCTGCGGCGAGTGATTAGATGTCGGTGGGCGTACCCGCCAACCGCGCCAGCTATGCCAGTTTGCCGTTCCTTTTCCTTCGCTTTATTATGGATCCTTCTTCCAATTATTCTTTCCTTTCAAGCAATCTCAACCTTTTTTTGAAGGGAAGCATAGAAATATATAGTTCATTAAACGGGAAACAACTTAAACCTATACGCTGTGGCTACGTCAGTTCTCAATGGCACGGTTCTGTCTTCCTTTAAAGGCAAGCTGCGGACTTGGCGTGAGGGAATTACCGAATTCAAATATGTAGTACCAGGCTAAGTGGAACTCAAAGTTGAAGAACGAACCGGCGCACGAAAACTTACTGCCTAAGAGGTCCAAATTAGAATTCTTTATTGTCAAGTTGCTGCAAAGCCATGGCCTGGAGACAGGGCGTATCTGGAGGTGTATTAGGTACCGGATATCTTAGTGTCGCTTTTCTGAGTTCAGGAAGTTTTGGGGCCGATTACTATGGAAAATCAATATCTCAGAAAGTCCTTTTTGCTCATTAATACTGCGAAATATGTTGCTTATTGTTTTCTATTGTTGGTTCACAATTTAACTTTCCCCCAATTTTATACTTTTTTTGAAAATTCCTGGGTCCAGTGTGCAAATTCGCATGTGTGTACCAAATGCTTCAAAATTCTTGCTGAGAGCTACAACTTCCGCCCACCAAACCAACATTGCATTTGTTGGAGGGAATACTACCATTTAAAAATGCTCATCGGTTTTTCACAGTTTTCTCAAAAGACAGTGAAGTCTTTGAAGTGATGCCCGCAATCGTCGTCAAAAAGGTGGCCCTAGTTAAATCAGTCGAGACGGGGCTGCACCAGTCTTGTGCTGAAATGGTAGGGCACACTTTAGTAGGTGGTTTGATGAGTTTAATGCATCAAACGCTCTAAACGAAGTTGATTGCACCAAGAAATTCTAATAAATGTGCTCATCTGCTACTCACGTGTGCTCAAAAAGGGTGCGTTTTTGACCCTATGTGGCAAAAAAGACTCCGGGAAAAATTGTCCAGTTGAGCTGGTAAGTAAAATTTTCCACCATACAGTGCAGACCCTACTCTAACTAACTGTATACTTCTTTTGTCCAGGCCTAACTTTTTAGCAAGTGAGAGGGATGATTTGTCAGATGATGTCAAAACCGACCTACCTCTCTTTTTCGACTCAAAAAATTCCTAGCTTTAATCGTACGAGGTTTCCACTCATACTGGTAAATGGGAAAGTGCTAATGAGTCATTCGATGATATGCTATGTTTTTCCACTACCCGGCAGCTGCTGAATTAAAATGATATTGTGGTCCGGAAACTGCGTTGGTTGAAAAAAGCGACACTAAGATATCCGGTACCTAATATTAACAGCCACTGTGGGTCTATGCCATAAACCGACAAGGCCATAAACACTCAGCATGGAAAATTGTTTCTATTATTTTTCTGCTTATCTGTTCTTTTTTGTTTGCTCCTCATCTTAAGAACTTGATACTTACTATAATGAATGACAACGTTGTCGAAGCACGACCCAGGATTCGCGCGTGTGGTACGCGTGCCACTTGCCACTACACATTAATTATAAGCTTCAAATTATTATGACTATTATTCTTCGTTGCGCGGAAGTGCAAAAATAATTTGAAATAATTTGAAGCACATAATTAATACGTCCTAAAGTTCTAAAATCTTAAGCCTACAAAAAACTAATGGTAAGGAAAATGGAAATCTCCGCTGGCTGCTTATAAAAGGGTCTCATGCGAGCTGGAAAACACCTCCTTGCGTTTCACCATTGATGCAAGTGCCGAATATTGTTCCTTAGTTAACAATGAGCTGTTGGTTGCAGTCAGGATTCGAACCGATGTTTTTCGCGGTTTCTTACTTTGTATGGACTCAAAATGTGAACACAAACCATGAACTTAAGTTTATTTAATAGTTCGAGTTTATGTTTACCAAACGAATGGAACCAATTTTGCCTTTTAAAACGATAGGTTTTGAAAGAATGAATACACGAGTATATGAAGAACAAGAGATGAAGAAACCCTGCAGCTACATTCAATAGTGATTGTCTTCTGAATTTTCTCGTTTCGCTTAGTATTTACTCTCCGCTCCCTTGACTGGGTTGCTTATTGAGCGAGAGCTTCTCTGATCTTTTCGTATTAGTTGCTTTCTCTTGTGGAGACGCCTTATTTTTCTTGTCTGTGCCTGTTTGCATTGACGACGTAGGGGCTCCCTTCGGTTTCTTTCTCGTCGATCCTTCTCTATCCTTCAACTTACTTCTTTTATCTTTTGATTTTTTCTCGGTAAATCCGTGATCATACGCATCAAGAAGTGGGCTGAAATAACGCAGAACTTAATGACGGAAAACGTGAAGAACTTTCGCTTTAAAGCAAGGGATTACGGTAAAATGTGTGTGGAGCATGGAAGTACACGCACCTGTGGCGTTGTAGTCAGGGGCCGGAGAAAGCGAGTTGTGCCCTTTGTTGCGGCTTAGGGTTTGCTAGTTGCAGCGCACTGAGGTCAACCCTTTCTGAGCTCCACCTCCGCCTGTCTCCGCCCATCGGTATTTTGCCGGCGCATCATCGGTCGATTATCATTTCTAAGAGGTATTCCACTTTGGATGCGATTACGATAAAGAGGAAGCACATTGGGGAAGTATATGCGCCACACGAAGTAGTTACTTGGCTGCCAAGGGAAGAGGTGTGGCGCTTTACGACGAAAGGTGCGGTTTGCTGAGCAGGACTTCGAAAGCACTCCGCCTCCAAAAGCGATCCGCCCACTAGTTTGATTGGCGATCTGGACGAGTAGGGCTGCCAGCATGGTCAAAGAGAAGGGTCCCTTATTGCGCATTCTTGACGAATTTGTTTGCTTTTCTCGCCACTGGGGCATTATTCAGCATGCGACAACCCCACCTCCACTAGGAGCACAAGCCAATACTAATCCCTTGCTTTGAATGACTCACTTAGAAAATCCAAACAATGATTGTTCTCCTGGGTTAGTTGCTCCAGACTCTGGCATTCTTAGTATTTCCTCATAGAGGGCTTCATAATTAATGGTTTGTCTGAACAACACGAATGTTAACGAATGCTATCTCAGCATCCTGTTGTGAATTTCGTATGACGAACTACAGTCAAAGTCAGACCGACCAGAAACAAGTCAGAAATTTACATAATATCTGCTAAATCTTTTTACGTTTTTTTAGGTCAAGAATTTTTTTATTGTTCTTCATAAACGTTTTGTTTCCATCAACCCCTCAATAACTGATCAGTCCCAGAGGTTGATGGAAATTATGTCGTTCTCCTGATTTTGGAGGGGAGAACGAACCACCTTTGAATTTATTACACATATATATTCAAAAAGTTGTTTACTTTGTTTTTGTTTTTGTTGGGTGGACTGCAACTAGCTCTATGTTGAAACTGTTAGTGCTAAGGAGCTATGGTAAATAAACCTAGGCTGGGTTAGGGTCAATGCACCGAGGTAATCGCTGATACAACTGCCCAGAAAGCCAGAATTGCCAGTTCGATTCTCGCCCAGGGCGACGTGTTTTCCCCCTAACCCCGCTCCTAGTGGGAACTTTCGCATGGCAAAACAGCAGTTATCAATCGGAAACTACTTGAATTTGTCAGTTTGGTTAATCTTGAGCACTTACACGAGCGGTTGTTGCCTAAGCCATTCGAAGATTTTGGAATAGTGATTAAGAAGGGCGTTCCCTTTTTCGTCCTCAACGCGTGCCCAGCACTCCACTTGCCTTTTATTATTGATAATGGCCTAAAATGCCGTTGATAGACCCCAATTACCGATCATACGATCCAATTGACGTAACCTGTTTATCTGTCTCCTTATGCCATGGTATCTGTCCTAAGGCAAATTCTGTCATTATGTACAGACATGAAACTATGTCGTCAATTGCTGTTGGTTCTTTCCCACTAAGGGTCTCGGGGCTTCTGGAAAACGTGAGCATCAGCATGAAAGCCACATGAGTCTAAAATATTCGAATAGCCGCCTTACCCATATTTCCAGTTTCCCACATAAGTGAGGCATGCACGTGTACGGGGAATGTTTGAGCGATACTTCTTGCAGCACCAAAGCTCCGTGACTGCTACGAGGTCACATAGTTCGCTTTCTTTCCTGAACTAAGTAATCAATTAAGGAGTAAGGGAGAAAAAAGAGTCGAATCAGATTGCTTGAACACTATAAGCAATTATACTGATTATCCCGCACCGCGATAGAAGTGCTGTGTTGCTATAACAGCTTCAAAGGGATCACTGGTAATAGGCCGTAGAATGGACTCCATAGAGAGTTTGCTCTTTGAAAAGCCTGTTGGGGCAGGTTGACGTGGCAAACAGGCCAACTTGCTAAGGAGTCGATCCTCCGGACTATTGCCTGCAATCCAGGAACACTATCGCTGCGCTTTTCAGTTTCACCACTTGTTTCAGAAAATTTACTAGATAGTGAAAACATATTTGGGATGAGCGTCTTGAGGCGCGTATAGAACTGCCCACATCATTCGAATGTTTCAGGATGGCCTCTGCTGATTAATACCCACGGTTATTTCACTTGATGCTAAGCGCTAGCCGTTTGAGGTCGCAACTGGAGGTCAGCTTTAGTGGGACATGTCGCATACGCAGAAAAGAGGAAGATAGATGCAGTGCACGAGCAAAGGATAAAGGATAAAGCATTTGCCGTTGATCAATCCCTTTTTGGGATGCGGCACGCATTCTACTTCCATTTGTACATTCGTAGTGGCGTTTGAATGCGATGTGGCCTATACAATGACTTGCGGGGGCCAGCCGATGTACAAGTCAGTGTTTTTATCCTCCCAGACAAGTCTGGTACCAATTAACCGACCCCGGAGGGATGGAAGGCTTGGTTGGCCCGGGCGACTCACGACCCAGGATTTGATCCCCGGACCGCTCGCGTGGTAAGCGTGCCACTTGCCACTACACCACTTCCGCCCATTAACGAGAATAAGTGAAAAAATGGGAATTTTGAGAAAGAAATGGCACATGCGACAAAGCAGTACAACCTGCTGAGTAGTCCACCACACGGAAAACGGATTGAAAAGTATGCCGGCTGTACATTTCGGTGAGCAAAGCCCTTCATGTGCAACAGCCTCAAAGCCTGCAATTGTATAGGACTTGTATTCGTCACGCATTCTACATCGCAAAGCAGCTAACCTTTATGCATCCTATCGTGACAAATACCGAGACGTGTACGGAGAGCGATTTACTGCGGTTCGATTTAAAAAGGGTCTCTAGTGAAGGCTCGAATGACTCTAAGATAAAGTAGGGCCGCGGCACTTTCGACGTTTCAGCAATATCGTGACGCTTGACACTGGTGTCGTTGAGCTTAAAGTACAAGGTTGTTCCGTGGCCACCAATAAACCTCAGAAATATAGTGCTGCAACTCACGTTCAAGTATCGCAACTCTGACAAACAGCCCTGCCCTAATATAGCAGGATAGTGTATTCGGTCAATAGAAGAAGGATACGCTCTGGCAAGCATTTTAAACATGGAGTATTCATGTCTGAACACCTGTAACATTGAAACTTTTACATAGCTCTCGATGCTTCAACACAGCAACTACCAACAGCACACTTCCTTGGGTATCTTAGTAGCTAAGCTAGTATGTAAGACAACAAATGGGATCACCGGTAATGCCCGCCCCTTCAAAGCCACGAGACGGGATTAGTTGCCAAGAGTTCTTCCTGAGTGACAGAGACGTTTCTCGAGCACAGGAGTAGAGAGCAGAAGGACACTGTCTCGACGAAAGTTGCCTTTGCCAGCGCTGTCGTCTCTATATTGCGGCGTAAGTACCCTCCCCTTCAAAAAGCGAGAAAGTGTCGGGTGCAGACCATGCACCACAAGTGACGACGGCCTTCACAAAATGTTAATGTTTTCTGCCAATGAAATGATTAGCCTGTTGCAGTTGTATTCTATCGATTGTCACTAATTACAACTATCATTTACCAGAAATCAGCTATCACTATGAACAACTTCTAACCAGATTTACTTGGAGGCCGTCGTCAGTTGTGGTGTTTGGTCTGCACCCGACACTTTCTCGCTTTTTGAAGGGGAGGTTACGCCCTCTTACTAATGACGTGCTCTCTCGCGTTTTCCCCTCCTCGCAGTGCTGTGTCTCTGTGCCATATCATGGCCGAGTTGGGGAAAGAAATTTCAGGGCATTCTTTGATGCGATTTGATTTTTCTTCTACTATCATTCTTCATCGCACTTCTTGTCTTACCAGGTTTGCTCCGCCCGCTATCGCGCGCATCACAGGGTAGGGAGGAACCACGGAATAGCAGCATGACGTACTCCATTAACCACCTCACTATTGAATGTGTTATACCTCCTTATACCCCTTCTCTCCGGCGCATGGCAGCACCATGTTCTCCCTCCCTTTCTCCTCTCCCCCTTCCCTCCCCTCTCCCCCTCCCCTTCTGCTTTCCCCCTCCCCTCTACCGCCCGCCGACTCCGGCTGCCCCGGCAGCACCATGTAGAATGAGGCTGTGTGCTTCGGTGTTTTTGTAGCCATTGTGGGTGTTATCACAATCACCACATCAGGTTAGAATAATACGTCAACATGAATATAGACCTTACTCTTAAAAACGGTCGTTCTCTCTCAGTCTCTCCTCCCCCACCTCCCCCTCCTTATACCCTCCTCTCCGGCGCATGACAGCGCCATGTTCTCCCTCCCTTTCTCCTCTCCCCTTCCCTCCCTCTTTCTCTCTCCCCCTCCCTTCCAGCCTCCCCTTTCTTGCCCCTTCCCTCTACCCTCTTCCCTCTACCCCCCTCCCCCCCCCCCTCATCCGGCTGCCACGGCAGCACCATGTAGAATGAGACTGAGTGTGCTCGATCGGTGTTTATATAGCCGCTGTGGGTGTTATCATGATCATGACATCAACATCACGAAGTGTTGCCCTTCGTACTCCCTGGTTTTGTGAGCGGTTGGTCCGGACGGACAGAACGACACACACACACCGACAAACCGACACACCAAAGTTCTGGTTATATATATACCAGATTAGTCCCCCGTCAACCGCCGGGACCTTCCTTTCCTGCGCAAGCTTTCTATCCTCCGCTATGGTCCCTTCCTCCTGTGACACCAACACCTCCTGGAAGTGACGCGTATGCAACACAATGGTGTTTCATACAGTAGAAGGGACACAATCATGATATGACGGTAGATTTTTCGCTTCCCTTCCTCATCCTCCCTTCCTCTCTCCACTGCCCTCCAGCTGCCACTGCAGCACCATGTGGAATGAACGGAAGTGTGCTAAGCAGGTGTTTATATAGCCCTAAGAGTGTTATCACAACTATCCTGCTACAAACATTGATATCTCAAATCCTGTAAGCTACCCGATTTGTTAGCGGTTTGTTTATCCCATGAGCTTCCTTCTCACTCACTTCATTTTGCGGACGGACACACATACATACATACACACACATACAGATACACAAACCGACACACAAAGTTAGCGCTTTATATATAAATAGAAGGATGTTGTGATTACGAAGCAAAATACCACATTTCCGATCAGTGCCTTTGAAGGCACAACCCAGGCAGAATTCCTGCGAACAGTGCGACTCCCTTCGACCTGTAGGATAGCCCCTAGAGGACAGTACAAATGTGGCAATCCCGTGCACGGAAACCAACCGACAAGAGCGCATGGACCTTGCAAAGTAAGCTGCTTTTTCTCTAATCAGGCTGTTGCTGGCGCCCTCGCGTCTGTTGCGCTCCCTCACCTACATACTTTTCCTCTCGTTCTATAGTCTCCATCGGGATAAGCACGCTGATTGCGTAACGTGGAGCTGTGCCCTAAAACCTTGAAGCGTTTTCAACGGATTCTTCTCCTTCTTTTTTGACCAACACCCATTTCGCACCAATACAGTCGCATTCGTGTGCAAGACCCATACCAATTTGACATTGGGGTATGCCTTTAACTGCATTTTTCATGAATAAAGTAGGCGAAGCAATCTCAGCTCATACAAAATCCTATCCAATTTCTTCAAATCCTTAGTAATGTATTCGAGAAACTTAGATAAATATAAATAAGAAATGGATGACCGTAATCACCTTGATATCAGCTTCTGTGTCGTAGCGGCATAAACGAAAAATACCTTCTCTTCGATCCATAGGCATCCGCTGAAACCTGCTCATTGTTACCGTAACCGGAAGGTTCACTACCCAAAAACAACCTCATTTATATTTTGTCCTTCAATTTCTTGTGAAAAGGGCATGCGATATACGTCATAGTCGGTGGACACTCCATCAGGGCGTCTGCAATAAAGCAATTGGTCATTGTTCAAAAGTGCTTGGTAGAAAACCGCTACTTCATGCGCATGCCCATGATTCTCCATGCTACTTTCGCTGGTCCTGATGTCTCTTCTATCGTTCCCACCATATGGGCTTCACAATAATTCACAGAGCTTTGTGCCTAAATAGCTTTCGTTGTTCGGTGGACTCGAACTCTTAACGACTGAGCTCGAGAACTGGGCGTGCAGACCTTAATTGCTTTTTTTCGTGCTTTTTGATAAGAAGACACCTTATCAGTGTTTTTTCGCAGAAATAGCACATTTGTGAGTGCTTCCACTTCTTTTCTATCAATACTGAAATGTACGTATTTTTAATGGACTCTGCTGCACTTAAAAGTTGATTATCTTTAGCCAGCAGTTCACTAAAATAGGGGTGCAATCAAGACCCTGCAATACGGAAATCCCAATACACAAAAGCATCTTAGCTGATAGGAACCTTCACCACAACCTTCAAATTCAGCAACCACTTTAACAAACACCAGTTTAACCTGAAGGCAAGGATCAGGATTGCTACAAAATACAGGAAATGTTATCCTTCTTGCTCTACGCTGCGAAGAAGATTTAGAGGCGCACGGAGATGAGAAATAATGTGAGCCGCGGAGAGGGTAAAGAAGTCTTATTATGAAGGTCATAAAGGTGATGTCCTGATTTTGGAAAACGGTTTCTCGCGTGATGTAGGGGCACATGCATGAATTACAGAACTATGGTCCATTTTTCGTGAGCGGCCCTTTCAGTGCCAAAAAAATTGAAAAAGCTCGAGCGCCACACTATTCCCACATCAGATTTTGGTAAATATTTAGTCATATGGGTTACCATATGGGATACAGATGATGTCCGATAGTAATTTAGCATCCATTACTACTTGCGGGTACCATTTTGGGACATCACACAGGCGTCTTTGGAATTGCAAAACTTTGTCAACACGCGGGATCGAAGCGAGATCCAATCTTTCGTCGCTTTTTTTGCCCTTCGAAAGGCCGCTCAGGAATAGAAGTATACTTCCTCGTTAAATGCACGTGCCTCTATACAATGCAGCATGGCTTCTAAAAAGCTGAGCACGAACTGAATTACTTCCCTGATTAGTGGATAGAGCATGACACATCAACACTACGACGCAAAAAAGGTACCTAACAATGAGCGGGCTTTGATTCTCTTTGGTGGGTTTTGAACGATCCTTAGCGCGTAGCGTCTTAGTGACGCATTTTCGATGTGCAAAGGTGGCGCGACACCTCACTGGGGGCCCACACGTCTCTATCAACGGGAGTGGCTACCTTAGTGAGCCCTGATCTTGCCTATAAAGCATGTTTGCGAGTGGATAGCAAGGCTCCTGAACACAGGAATCGTAGCTCTGTCACGATTTGAAAATGCGTCACTAAGACGCAGACGTCAGAAGGGGCTATTGCTTCTCTGATTGGTGCAACCGCCGATGTTTCAGTTTGCTAATAACTAATCCGTCGACTGGTTCCTTTCTCCGCCTACTCTCCCGCATATTTAATCTCCTTGCCGCGCTGGGTCTCTGCCAGGGTGAATATCGGTCGAGGAAATCCTCGACAGGGGGGTCGTACCTGTTGGGCTGGGTCATGGGGGGTCGTACTCTTGAGGGGTCAGTAACAGCAGTGGTATCGTGGTGCAGATAGGTAAGGGTATAGCGCAGCAGAAAATGAAAATATCTGAAAAAAACATGATATTAAATTTTCTTTGCAGGTTCAGTCGCTCCATTCCTCCACCTTCATGAGAAGGGCGTATTTGAAGGCAGTACAAAGAATGAAAGTGCATCCCCGCAAAGAAGACTGCCACATGTGCGCACGCGCTGCAAAGGCACCTCCTCTGCCTATCGCTCGCTCCTTCTCCCTTAATACCTCGCTGAGAATGACACTGTTGTTAGGGACCCTGTCGCAAAAACGACAACCGTGAAGGAAAAGCCCTGGGCAAATGAAGTTGTTCTTTAGGTTGTAGGAGTTACGAAATGCGTTTACTACAATGCAGCTTCTGTCAACTGGTCATGATCATATGACACCTTCGAATCGATTCTGCAACTTCGAGTGAGGTCGGATGCATGGCCTATACTCAGACAAAATTCGATGATGACGATTGCCCCTTTTCCTATTGTGCGTTTCATAAGTATAGACGCACCCTCAAAAAAGCTGTCATCAAAGTTTAACGATATCCGTGACAAAAAGGGTTGTTAATATCGTAATCAGCGTGCCGGAAAACCTTTGTGAGACAGGTTTTATTTGAATCGGAGAAAAATTGGGTATTTTTCAACGGTTTGTTACCAAATGGACCGTTTCATAAGTATAGACGCACTTTAGAAATCGCCATGAAACTGAACACTTGGCCTGCGAAAGTTAACGTTCAAGGAAGCAGTAATTAGCCATAAGTACTACGCATCATATCGTTAAATAGCAGGGGCTCACAGCTTCCAGTTGCCGAGCAGGCTCAGGATCGCGCCCTGCACACGGTATGTCTGAGCAATCGCATAATTGCTCCCCAATTGTGTTGCTCCTCAAGGGTCGTCGATCAACTCGTAAGTGACACGGAATCCTACGGTCGCAAAAAGGGATCAGGTAGACCAAGGAAGCTGCCTCCGCAAGCAGAACGTCAGATTGAACGATTGGTCTTGAACTCTCGACTCAGCCTCAATGAAGTCCGAGCGAACCTAGCGGCACCTGCCTCCAAAACGGCGGTGTGGAGGGTTCAGTGGCAACAGCAACGTCGTGCGAAGTCGTCTCCGTCCAGCTCCCCGTCTCACCGCGTCTCACAAAGAGGCACGGCTCCAATTTGCTAAGAGGAATATGGCAGCAAACTGGCCCAATTTACACCCCTTTCTTATAAAGCTTCCCATTCGAAACTTCTTGCTCAACTGATATTCTCCGACGAGAAGAAGCTCAACCTGAACGGTTTAGACGGGTATACATTTTAATGGAGAGATCTGTGCAAGGTGTCGAAGTTTTCCAATAAGCGTGATTTCGATGGATGATGCGTCACAATTTGGAATGTATTTCACCGATGTGGGACGCAAGAAATCGCTTTCACTCCCACCCACATGGACTCCACGGAAAACAAAGACGTGCTCAGTCCTCACTCGCTACCTTTTTTGGCAGGGTATGGCGAGGGAGAATTTGTTTTTTAGCAGGACAACGCTGTGATCCAAATGAGGTCTACTTGGTCGTGGCTAGAGGAGCGAAATGCAACTACTGTGGACTGGCCTGCTTGTTCACCCAATGTCAATCTCATTAAAAACATCTGAGGCCTCCTGGGTTGCAATATTTAACGTCACAGAGGGACTTTTGTTAAGGTGACCGACCTCAGAGTGGTGATTAGTCAGGAATGGAATCGTCTGGTCGTATAACTGCTCAGCGGATGGTTAAATCTACTCTTTCTTCTATCTTTCGAAGTACTAAGAAACAATTAATTACTAGGAGTTTTTTTGTTTTGATTTCATAATAAAAGTATTGTGTCTTAGAGGTGCGTCTATACTTATGAAACGTTGGGCAACAGGGTCGATGCCTAATACCTCGAAAAAATTTCTCATAACTACGAGACGTATTGTAACTGAGACTATTTCTCCGATGATTCCTACTAGTGCCATTATGTTACCCTATGGATCCGTTTGAAACTATTCGTGTAAGATTTTGGGGTGCGTCTATACTTATGAAACGCACTGTATTGCTTATGTTGGGAGGATGTTTTCTAGACCCATTTCAAGCGTTGCCAACAATTACACTTGCAATGGTGAAGGAGGGAGCGGATTTTCAGGTGGCCGGATCCGTCCTCGATACATACTCGACGCAGATATCTTCTCAACTAGGAAATGTAGAAGAAAGCTAAGAAGACCATCAGAAAGCGCAAACCTTCCGCTTTCCAAAACTATCTTCACTTTTTCAGGATCTCACGTTTTAAGAGAGATATTGCTCTTGAAGTGGCAAAAACTCGCGTGAAAATTTCAGCGTCCTCGACGTTTACTCGACGAAATTTGAGAGACCCTATCTTTCTGCATGGAAGACTTTCAGAGCAATTTCAATACTTCTTGGAAACGCGAAATCCAGCTCTATCTAACCCTACCTCAAACTGCTTCAAAGGTTATGAAATGGAGGAATGCAACCTTTTCATCGAGGGTGTAGATTTCGACGGTTTTTTTTTCGGGATTTCAGCAAATCTGACCCAGTGACAATCGCGCCGCAGCTGCCGTTGAATCGGCCTTTGATACACTCGGCTGTTTCGATATACTCAAGCAAGAATCAAGATTGAATCGCAACCCCGTGCCTTCAGGATTTCTGTGCATTTCTGAACGAACCTGACTTTGAGGTCACACAAAGTTAATGCCTCTTTCCTCGAGTCGATATTTCAGTAAATACACAAAAGTGTGCAGCGATGAAAGACGTGCATAGATGACAAGATGAAGCGTCCTTAGCATTATTTTGCAGAATTTTTTTTGATTTGTTTTGCAGGATTTATTTTAATTGAATTAATTTGCTCTGTTAGAGGGGGTCGTGCCAGGATCTCGATTTCGGGGGGGGGGGGTCGTACCTCTGCGACCACGTACTCGACACGATTTTCACCCTGGTCTCTGCTTCGTACCGCGGTCGCCCTCTCAAGGAACGGAGGATTTCAATTCCTTCAGCTTTTCTATTAGGTCGCAACGAAAGTCCTGGCGCATTTCTTCAAAGTCCTGACAAACGGCTGCGCATTAACCTGGAGGGGAAATTTTTTAACCATATACAGGAATGGTAACATCCCTTCATATTTCCGAGTCTCACCTCCTGCAGGCCTTTTGGAGCCTGGAAAATGCCATAAGTTTCTACCCATGTACGCCACTGACTTCTTTGCGAATTTTGTATGGGACACACAGCGAGCGAAGCCTGCCGCAAAATATGCTCTGTGGAAGTAGGGGGAGTGGTAAGTGAAAAAACCTGCCAACTTTGGTTCAGAAGGCTCCGCGAAGGAAACTACAACCTCGAAGATGGACGCCCAACGAAAGTTAATTTCGAACGTTTGGAGCTGTTACTTCAAGACTTTCCGCATGCAAGCGCCATGGAGCTGGCAAAGGAGATGCACTGCTTCAACATGGCCACAGGTCGTGTTCATC